TATATTTAATAATAAATAATTATCATATCAGAATATTTTAAATTATATATTTAAAAAGATCTTAAAAATAAAATTAATAAATTTATTATAATTATTAAATAATATTAATATATAATAAAACTTTAAATTTATTAATAAATTTAATCAACTTAAAAAATAAAATCTGAAAATTTAAATAATAATAAAATAATAAAATGATTTTATTAAATATGATTTTAAAATTAAAATTTATATTAATTCAAAAATTTTTTTTTTAAAAAAATTTTTTTTTCAAAAATATATATTGTTTATGATAAAAAATATATAATATAATTATAAAGAGTTATATTATTTTATATTATAATAAATTCAAAAAAAAAAAAAAATTATTATTAAAAATAAAGAATATAATATAAAAAATAATTGTGATTAAAGTTAAGTGAAATTTAAAAATTTAATCTTTTTAAAAATTTTATGAAATTTAAAAATGATAAATTATATTAAAATCTTAATAAAAATTAGATTAAAGATTTAACTATTTAAAATAGGTTTAGACAAATAATTTTAACTATGATATTAATTAAAAAAAAATAAATTTTATAATTAAAAAAAACAATATTAATAAATAAAAGAATAAACTTAATAATTATAATTAAAAGAAGCTTAAAAATAGCTTAAAAATAAAAAGTAAAATTTGAAAAAACTTAAAATTGGTAAAATAGAAATTCAAAAATCCTATTAAATTTATATAAGCAATTTTTATTCTTAGTTTCAAAAAAAAAAACTATTATAATATAAAGAAAAGGCTTAAATAATATTAGTCTTTATTTCTTAAAGTAATATAAAAAAAGTTGTTTTTATAAGCAATTTTAGTTAAAGTAAAATAGAAATACAGTATTTTATTATAACCTAAAATCAAAATTAGTTTATATATTTTGATCTTATATATTAAATAATATTGTTCCGAAACTGATTAAAAAAAAAGATCATATGGGACCTTTGCAAAGAAAAATGATTTAATGTAAAAACATATTTTGACCTAAAAATCAAATTTGGCATATAAAAGTAAAAAGATTTTTTCCGGTGTTCCCCCTTTCTATTCAAAGGTCCCATATGATATCTCATTTTCATTAGAATTGGATAACTTGTAATGTGTTGTATTTAAAAAATGATTTGTCATATGAAATCTCTTAGACTTCCAAAAAAGGCTGGTCCCATTAACCAGTCCAAGACCGGTCTTATCAAGGACCGATCGATCCTAAATATATCGGGCGAAGACCGATTAATTTTACGCCCCGTATAACTTATAGATCCTGCTTTTACTTTTATAGATAAATTATTCATTGATACAATTGATTAGAAGTAAAATGTTGATATCCTTTTGCTATTTATTTATATAATTAATAATCAAGATATTTATCATATGACGTGTTGTTAATCTAAAATTTTAAACATTTATATTTATTCATATAATATTCATTTTTTAAAAAAGAACAAGTATTTACTTTTGTCCAACTCCATCTAACTTACGATGGTATTAGTTATTTATATATTAATTCATAAAAATATACAAGAGATAAATATTATTATTATTATTACATATATTTTTTTTTTCTATAAACAATCAAAACGATGTAAAATATCTGATCTAATTACTTAAATCAAAATAAATACATCTTAGAACCTGTTCACTTATTTCATCATCTATTTAACATTTAGATTGAAAGAAAAGTTACAATTCAAATGTTTCGCAATGAACTTTAAATAAACAGGTTTCATCACTTGATTTGATGGCAGCGTTTCGTACTTGTTTCAACATAATACCGGGACCACAAACGCCAACCGCGATATCACCTGAACCATGATATTGTTTTATATCTTGCATAAGGACCGAAAAGTCGGGTCGACCTTGGAAAAAGATTGATGATGGAGTTGTTGTACTACGAGTCAAAAATATTTTGATGTCAAGAAGATATTTGTTTTCTGGTAAATTTTCAGCTCGAGCCATTAATTCACGTAGATCTGATCCAAACCATTGATACGCATCTATAAGAAAAAAAAGAGAATAAAAAAATACACCGTATTAAAGAATGTGATGGGAATCAAGAGAATGAAAGGAAAAAAAGGAATAGATACATACCAGTATCAGGTATAACCCATATGAAGTATATGGCTTGCGTGACTATTGGCATGTTGCTAACTTGACGATCAACCAGATCACGCAAGATACTAATCATCGGAGTAATACCTATACCACCGCATATTAAAGTTACAGTACGATATTGCATAAAATCGATACTTGGTTTCCCATAAGGTCCATCTATTCTAAAGTTTAATGGAGTTTGTTCGATTCCTCCTTGTGTCTTATCGTAAAGATTTTTTGAGAAACCACCTTGAACTTTCATGTGAACGCTAGCAAAATGAACGCCATCATCCATAACACTAGGGGCCGAAGAAAATGATATGGGATGCCATGCTATCCATGTAACAGGAGGTTTCAAATTTGAAAAATTAATAAACATATATTGTCCAGGTTCATAATAATCTTTGAACTCAAAGATAATTCTAGTGACTCCAGATTGAATGGCTTCCATTCCAATCACGTTGATAGGACCAATTCCAATAAGAAAGCGGGTGAATCGATCGACAACGTAAAGACCCAAACCAACGCCCAAGAACATGATGAACTCTTCTTGATGTAAAGAACCGAATATAACAAAAAAGATAAAACTGAAATGACTCCAGTAAAATAATTCAAAAAGCTTTCTACGTATTACGGAATGAGAGGTGAGAATGATGATAAATATGGAGAGGTAGGCTAAAAATCCCCATCTATTAGTTGGGGTACCAAACAAAGCTTCGGAAACCGAAGTATTATATGATCGTTGAATTTGAAAAGAGGCGTGAAAGGTGAGAAGAAAGAAAATGGTACGTCCAACCCAACGATGGAATCTTATCAATCGTTCAAAAGGGACACCAAACAATTTAAGGAAGACCGAATTCCTAGTGGCCAGAGGGAATACAAAAGCTGCATTTGCCAATGCAAGATAAGCGCATCTTTTGCTCAAAGTTTCACCACCTGAAGCATCAGCCGAGAAAGGTAGCAAAAGGAAAATAACATTGATCACGATATAGAGCACAAACAACAAGATTTCGGCGATTGACATATCACCAACAGTAATCACGCCAACAGTATAATTCATAAATTTATGTAAGTATACTTTCGGTGTGCTATGAATATTGGAGACATCCGGTACAACTGTAACAGCCTCTCGTGGATTATCAATATTCCTTTCTATTCTACCTGTTTTTTCTCTTTTATAAGGTAAATCCGGAACTTCAGGCCACTTTGTACGACTTATATACTTTGATATCTGTCCAGTTTGGTATACTATTGAGAGTAAGATAACTATTCCAAGGTAGGTCATGGATTGGTAATAACCCGCTGCAAAGTCTGCTGATTCCATTTTTTAATTAAAATAACGGTCGTGGGAGAGAGGAGGAAGTTGATACACTTTTACAATTAATGAGAAGGTGTAGAAGCGGATAAATTAATGGTTAGAATACAAGTAATTATTGTAATTTACGAAATGAGGAGGGTAGGGTAGAGACCAGCTCACGGGCAAAATGTAAGTATAAAGCTCGTATAATTTAGGGTATATACGAGATCACTAGTTTATAACTCAACCAGTGAGATTTCTTAAAGAAGGTGAAAAAATAAGTAAATCGACCGAAATATAAGTAAAAAAAAAAAAAAACAAAGGTAAGGTTAATAAGGGGAATAAAGGTGTCGAGTTTTAAGTTAGCATCTATATTTGGGTTCTGTAATTTAAAAATTAAATGTTGATCGTTTGATTGAATATAATGTGCGTGTGTAATTTACCGAACGAATCTGTGAAGTTGTTCTTAAATATCTTAAATAGGAAAACTAATATAAATTTTATAAATCTGTCAGACATTTTACCTTTTTGATGATGCTTGTGTGACGTTTCAAATGGTTTCCCTGAAATGATGTTTATGCGTTTCAAAATTTAAAATTTGTCGAAAAAAAATATTTACATCAAAAAGATTTTGGAAAATTCGACGTTCTTCAGGATTTAAATTATTCAAGGACAATTTATATATTCAATTTTATACTTGTCTAAGCCTTATTAAGCCTTTACTTTGTATTACCGGAAGCTTGGAAATAGTAATTCCAGATTAATTTAAATGAAAAAGTATGATATGATTTGGTCATATTTTATATTAAATTAGATTGACAAATTTAAAATAACATGTTTGAGGCTTTTTTTTTTTCTTTTTTTTACGGGAGTTCTTGCCAAGTTAAGGAAGAGTGTACAAGCGTTTCAAATGATCCTGGGACGCGTTCCAAACTCTTCTTGTTAAGTACATATTATCTTCTAACAAGACTTTTCATTGTCATTTGAACACCTTGATTTTATCCTCATAGCTCGCTCGCATTACGTTATTGCAGTTATTGGATTAAACTCGAAAAAAGAGAATAAAAATAGGGATAATCATTCTTCCTTTTTTTTATTTTTTGATAAAAATAGACAATATGAAATTGCCAAGTTTAACAAGATTGGTTATTGAAATTCTGTAATCTGAAATTATGGAGGTAATTATCAGACTTTTCCGAAAAGGGATAAGCCGATGTTAGTTTTGCCACACCGCCTGTTCCTAATAAATATTGATCAACCTTAGCAATTTTTTTTTATTTTCTTTCTCTTTCTCTTTTTTTTTTTATATTATTTTTAATCGCCTTGCGTATTTGGTTAAACTACTTTCTGAATATAAATCTTACAAGTTTATAAACTTATCGAATCGCCGGCGATTCCTTTTTTTTATTTTCATTATTTTATTTCAACGAGAAAAAAAAAGAAAAAAAAAAAAAAAAAAGGAAAAAAATAAAAATGTCTAAAAATACAATAAAACTATTATTGTCCCTTCTCTTGCTCACATCGATACCATTCTACGTATCAGCTTTTCCGACTGGAGCTGGGACTTGTAATGTAGAAGAAATGGCCAATGGAGACCATGGACCTTCCAGCTTAAAGGAACCGACAGGATATAGACTTTCTGCAGATATGCCAACGAAAGGAAATTTTGAATTAACAGCTGTAGGACCCGGAGATGGATTCAAAGGAATTTTGGTTTACGTTTTGAATGCAAAGAATGAGAGAATAGGAGAATTCACAAATTTGCCCGCAACTATGCAATTGAAATCCGATTGTAAAGGATCAACCGTTACTCATAAAACTAAAGATAATAAAAATTTTCCATTTAAATTAAATTGGAAAGCTCCTCAGGGAACAAGCGGTAATTTAACGATTAAATCTTTGATCGTAAAAGATTTCAAAAATTGGGCCAGGTTAGAAGATATTGAGTTTGATCCTGTTACTGGAGCTTCAAGCGTTTCTCCTGACATTAATGAAGTTACGGCTGGACAACCCTCTAAACCATCTAAACATTTCGTTGAAAAATACACGTTATTCATAGTTATGATTGCTATCACCACTCTTTTGTATATTGTAGGAAGCGTTATCGAAGCTTTGTTGAAAAGGCAACAAGTTAAATCTAGATCTTTCGCTAAAACTGTTGGTGGTTTTGGTAATGCAAAATAACGTACAATACGTTTTATTAATTGTTTTGGGGGGAATATATATATATATATATATATATATTACATATGTAGTTTATTTTTATCAAAATTCGTAAGAAATTATTATTGTATTGTTATAATATAAAAATTAATATTATTTAATTTTTTACTCTGTCCTTAATTTCTCAACTTCGACCCTGGGCCCGATTAAAGAAATTAATTTCTGCGCCGGGATTTTCGATTTAAATGTTCTATCTAATAAATATAATTCATGCATAATTGGTCAGCGATTTGACGAAGTTTAAATGGTTTTGAAAAGGTAATACAGATGAATAGATTGTTCTTTAATTAACTTAATGTTGCCCACGTGGGCTCCATTCAGACAACCAATTGTAGCCCACCTAAATATAATCGTCCCTTTTTTGATATTCTCGGAAGAAAAAAAAAAATATAAAAGAACAATAGGATAAAAAATGCCTTTTTGTTTCAAACTTTCCAATCGTTCAAAAAAGGATAATTTCTTTTTTATTTTGAAACGGTTGACATACTTTTTGAATTTTAAAAAATGGATAGGGCTTTTTGATTCCTTTATATTTTAATTATATTGTGGATATAAAATATATATATATATATAAATTCTTTGTTTTTTAAAACCTCAAATGAAAAATATTCCTTATATAGGATTCAAGTTCGTTGTACTTTTTACGCGATTTTCGTTCCAAAATTAGATTAAAATTTGGATTTCTTTTGAATATATAAAGTTCTTGGTTGTGAATTAGTTGAACAAGGCATAGAATCACAAAAGTTATTCAAACCGCATAATAGGAACTGTCTCGAATTGAACAATGTATTAATAATCATGATTACTATTTGCCATACAATTTGGGAAAAGTTGTCAAAAATGATGGTGAATTTAAAGTATCCCTTCTCGAATATAATATTCCCGATTCTAATCTTGGCGTAATTTCTATTGATATTTTGGTTCATCGTGTATTAACTTGATTGAAACAAAAAAAAAAAAAATATGAAACAAAAAAATCTTACTTTTGGCTTTTTATAGCCTAGTATTTCGAGCGCATTAAAAATCTTATGTCTATAATGAATTTGAGGGGAAGAAAGGAACTTGGTACGAAAAAATTTTCAGTTCAACCTTTAAAATACGTCATCGTCTTACATCAAAAAACGTAAAATTGAAATAATCGAATTAAATGATTCTAACGATGAATTATGAATTTACATATTCAATTCGTTATATTTATTGTATTAATATTTATTGGATTGGACTGTACATATTTGTTTTACCTTTGAAACAAAATAAAAGACAAACAATTATGGTAATCAAATTCAAAAAATGAGAAAGTTTTCGAGTTTTGATTACTGGATGCCTTTAAATAAATATATTATTGCTTGAAAAAAAAAAATTTGGCTTTTTTTATGGCCTATTATTGCGAGTGCAAAGCCGCTATATTATGAAAGATTTAGGAGCTCTACAATTGAAATTGCGGACACGAGTGATTCATAAATTATTTTTCTCATCATCTTTCTAGATCTTTTATAAAGATCAGTAAATAAATATTATATTTTATATATCATTTTCCCTATTTTCCTTGAAGGTTATATAGATCACTTAAATGGTCTATTGTTATACGTCTTAGTCGCTAGATGTTTGAAAAAAATTTTTTTCGATTCAAACAAAAACAAAATTATAATTACCATTATTAAAAAACTTAACAAAAATATTTCTATAATTTTGCTATTAGACTAAGTTGATTATATAATTAAAGATTTAAAATATTTTTTTTTTACATTTTTAAGAAAAATTATATAGTATAATATCAAAATTAAATATATTTAAGTAAATCTCTTCACCTTTATAATCTATTAACTTTAAAGTCAGAAAAAGACAAAAATAATTTATTTCTTAGAATCTAATGCAATTTGAAAATGCATATTAAATAAATTAAAAATGATATTTTAACTATCTCTATACTATTATATTTATAGATATTTATAAGTAGTAATAAATACTAAATTAATCTTATAAATTTATAATTAAGAAAATCCATATACTTTAAAATAATATAAAAAAGTAATTCCAGAAGGTTCAATAGATATTATAAATAAACCCTATTGAACTCATCATCAAACTTTATTAAATCTATCAAAATCTATTAAAATTAAAAGGTTAATTATCTTAAATTTTAAATATAATAAATTTGTTAAAAAAAAACATAATTTTTTATTATAATTTTTATATATTATTATTTTCTTATATATTATTTTTTGAAAAAAAAAAATTTTTATTAAATAGTAAGAAATATAATACAGAATTTTATAAATTTATATGAAATTTATTAAAATAATTAGATAATATATATAAATTATTTATTAAATTATTTTAATAAAATAATATTTATCATTAGATAATCTAAAACTATTACCTTTTAATTTTGTTAAAATAAAAATCAATTATTTTTTAATACATTAAGTTATTATTAAGTTATTTAATAAAATATAATTATTTTTAGATTTTAAATTAATTATTATTTAGTTTTTATAAATTTAAATATTATCAAATATTAATTTATATTTATATAAAAAGAATCATATTTATAAAATATTTATATATTAAAACTAATAATAAATATTAAGAAAAAAAATTTTATAATACTTTGATATTTATTATAAATAATAAAAAATAAAACAAATTAAATAAGAAAATAAGATTTAAAAAAACCTTTTTAAATTTATAATAATAATTGTAAAATTATTTATTTATTTATATATAAAAAATTTTAATAAATAAAAATTATTTATTTTAATTAAAGTTACTTATTTAAATCTATTTTAGATTTAACTAAATATAATTTTACTTTATCAAATTTTACAAATAAGATTATAATATAACTTTATTAAATTTTACTTTTACTATTTAGATAATTTGCTAAACCTTTAGATTTTATTTAACAATTTTAATTTTTATAAATATTTATTAACAATTATAATAATAATATTAATAAAGAATTTTAAAAATATATTAAAAAAAAATTAAAAGAAATACTGAGTTTATTAATTGTATAATTTATATACTTAGAATTTATTTTATTAAAAAATCTATTTTATTATAAAAATTTATTATTATAATAGAATTATTTTATTATCCCTTTAATTGTTTTATTTACAAATTTATAAGCAATTTTATTTATAAATTAAAATCATTTTTAATTATTTAAAAATATATTATTTAGAAAAGTTTTTAAAAAAATCAGGTCCTGAGAAACTTTTGACTTAAATTAAGAGTTTAATACATTTTAATATAATAACATCAAAAACTAAAATGCAATAAAAATTTCAATTTTGTTAAAAAATTTCTGGAATCTGATTTTTCTAACAATCAACCCATATAATAATTAATACTTTTATAATAAATTTTATATTATTTTCTAAGTAAAAATTAAAAAAAAATAAAATTAATTAGTGATTTTTTAAAAATAAATAAATGATAAATTATTATTAAAAAAAATAAAATTTTAAATTTATATATTTTGATATCTATTAATCTCAAAAATATAAAAATATTATTATTTAATATATCTTAATAAAATAAATCCAATAAACTGAATTTTATTTTCAAATAATTATTATATAATATGTTATTTTTAAAAATTGAAAAATTAATAAATTATTAAATTAATATATATTAATTTTAAAAATTGAAAAATATTATTAAATGTATTTTTTTTTAATGTATAATAACTTTGCATAATCTTTATTAGAAGTAAGTAAAATTTTATAAAATTATAAATTATGAAAAAGAGAGTACAAAAATTTCTATCTAATTAAACTAAATTAAAATCAACTTTATACCATTTTAAACTAATCTACTCAAATTACTTTAGAATAATTTAATTATTCAATATAAAGAGTAATATATAAAATCTGAAAAAAATTATATATGCATACGTGTATATGAATTATTTTGTGCAGCATTACAAAATTTATATGCATTTTATAAAAAGATCAAAATAAATTTTTATATATATTTTTGTGTATTATATAATTCATCAAGTATTAACGTTAAGTAAATCTCATCCTTAAAAATCATTTTAGATATCTGATTTTAATTATCAATTATATCAACCAATCTTATTAATCAATTATTTTATTTATCAATATTAAATTTTTCGATTTTATTTCTTTTCTTTTTTAATTTTTTTTAATTTAATTTCTTTTTTTTTAATTTCTTTTCTTTCTTTATTTTTTTTTAATTTCTTTTTGATTTTTTTTCTTCAATTTACTTTTCCTTTTTTTTAATTTTTTTCTTCAATTTACTTTTCTCTTTCTTTTTTTTAATTATTTTTGATTTTTTTCCTTCAATTTTCTTTTTTCCTTTTTTTTTAAAATTTTTTTTAATTCTTTTTTGATTTTTTTTCTTTAATTTCCTTTTTCTTTTTTTTTTTTAATTATTTTTAATTTATTTAGATTTATTTTTTTTAATTCTCTTTCTTTTTTTTAATTTTTTTTAATTTAATTTAATTTCTTTTTTTTATTTTTTTTTTGGATTTCTTTTCTTTTTTAATTTTTTTTCTTTTTTTTTCATATTCATCTTTAATCAATTTTGAATTTTTTTTTTTTAATTATTATTATTTTTTTATTAATTTAGAAATGAGTCTTTAAGGTAAGTATTTTTTAGAAGGATTCTTTAAAGATTCTTTGAAAGTTTATTTAATTGATTTTCTTTTTTAGAAACAGATCTTTCATTCTTGCAGATAAAAGTGAGTTTTTTCTTTTCAAAGTTCTATTAGGAGATTTTTTTTGAATGAGTTTTCTATTTTACAATTTTAATTAAAATTTTCTCTTCATATCTAAGTAGCAAGTGATTCTTTCTGATTTTTTATTTTTATTTTTATTTTGTATTATTATTTTTAAATTTTTTCTTTTTAGATTTATAGGTAATTTACAAAGAGAATTTTTTTTAATTTTTTTTAGGAATGGAATTTTTTCTCTTTGGATCTCAAGATA